CATAACTTAAACCTTGTTTATTTGCCTGCCCTATCCTTGAGTATGACATGCTTGCTCTACACTCTACTATCTCTTCTGAAGACTTACTCCTTCCTCCCTCCTCCTCCTCCTTCTCTTCTTTCTTCTTCTTCTTCTTTCTTCTTCTTCTTCTTTCTTCTTCTTCTTTCTTCTTTCTTCTTTCCTTCCTCCCTCCCTCCCTCCCTCCCTCCCTACCTCCCTCCCTCCCTCCCTTCCTTCCTTCCTTCCTTCCTTCTCTTTTTGTAATATGGACAGGCTGAGAATTTTCTAAATCTTTATGTTCTGGTTCTTTTTTGCTTAGCAATTCCTTGCTCAATTCATTTCTCTCTTCTTACATTTTACTATAAGCAGTCAGGAGGAACCAAGCTGCTCCTCCAACACTTCTCAGCTAAATATCCACTCTTATCAGTCACAAATTCTACTTTCCACAAAACACTAGGACATAAATACAGTTTGGCCAAGTTCTCTGCCAGCTGATAGCAAGGACTGCATTTTCTCCACTGTCCAGGAACATGTTCCTCATTTCTGCCTGAGACCCGCCCCCCCGCCCCCCCCATCAGAATCATCCTTAACAGTCACATTTCTACCAACATTCTGCTTATGATCCTTTATGTATTCTCTACAATTCCCCTCTTTTCTTTCTGAACTCTCACCACAATCTTCTTTAAAATCCCTTCATGGTTAACCGGTTTGGCTCAGTGGATAGAGCGTCGGCCTGCGGACTGAAGGGTCCCAGGTTCGATTCCGGTCAAGGGCATGTGCCTGGGTTGCGGGCACATCCCCAGTAGGAGATGTGCAGGAGGCAGCTGATCGATGTTTCTCTCTCATCGATGTTTCTAACTCTCTATCTCTCTCTCCCTTCCTCTCTGTAAAAAATCAATAAAATATAAAAAAAAAATAAAAAAAAATAAAATCCCTTCATGGCAATATCAGCATTTTCTAACATGCCCTTCAAAACTCTTCCAGCCTCTACCCATCAGCCAGTTTCAAAGCTACCACCACATTTGTAGGCATTTGCTATAGCAGTGCCCCACTCTCAGTACCAACAGAGTGCTGTCTTAGTCACCTCCTCATAGCATTACACTGGGATCAGGGTCTAAACATGCATAGTTGGTAGGGGGCACACACATTCAGTACATAACACCACCTAAAGTCTCTTCCACTCTAATCTTCTCCATAAACACTTGTCTCTTATGTCATATATCTTACTTACTTGAAAGGGAAAGATTTTTGTCTTATTTTATTCACTGTATTATCCCTAGAGCATACAGCTGAGGTCAACATATGGTTGTTAAGTAAATGAATAAGCAAATATTGGACTAGCAATCAGGTGATGTATGCTATGCTACCAACTCCCATTAACAAGTGGTGGGTTTTTGAGAAGGAATTTAATCTCTCTGGATATTAACTGTTTTCATCTATAAAGTAAGAGTGCTAAGAAATCATAAGGTTAGAGAATTCTATGATTAAAGATATGGTACATAATCAGAGAATCACAATTACGGCTACACAATAATTATACAACTATAACCTCCCCTCCCCCCGATTGTTAGTCAAATAAGAAGAGTACCTATTTAGCACATACATACCATATGCAGAAATTTTCAATCCTACCTGAGAAGTTAACTTGAGAATGTAACTCTGAGACTCATTCGATTCTGAACTGTCAGAGCCTTGGCTACTACAAAAAAATAATAAATTATTATTTTAATTTACAGAATGTTTTGGTGCCATTTTAAAATTGCAACAGTTACTTTTGCTTTATTACTTTACTGGAATGGTAGAAATAGTTCTAATTCTGAGAAGAATGTTTACAAAGGTGGTGTATATGTTTGGTAGTTCTAGGCATCTTAGGGTATTAGAAGAATAATGACTGAAATTGATTGGAACAAAACAAATATAAACCCCTGAATTCAAAATGATACTCTACACCTGCAAATAAACTTATTAGTCACCACTGGAGGTTACAGGGGCACTAACTCAAAGTCTGAAAATTTATAAATAAAGGGGAAGAATCAAATATTTATTCTGCCTTTTCTATAGGACCTATACTAAAATTAGTACCTCTTTCCTTCCAAAAACTTTCCCTTAGCACTAAATTTTGTACTTATTATTCACTAACGTGAGTATTTATGTGACATCTTTTTAAATGTGTCAGTTCTCTGTAGGTAATTACAGCATTAAAAAATTTGAGTATGTCTTTTATGTATAGTACATAGTAGGCGTTCATTTAATATTACTTGACTAAATGAATAAATAAAGTCTTGATGAGATCTGGCCAAAGTAATGTGCATGGGAAAATTTTTTTTCTACCTTTAGTCAGTATTTTCAGTTGAGACTGACAATTATATCCTAGAAATATTATAAGTAACACAGTAAAACAGCACACCAAATTACATTACTTCCACCATCTTGACTTACCTAGACTCCACTGTAATTTCTTTCAAAGAAGTATCTGAATCATCAAGGACTTTTTCCAAGTTTATATGTTTTTGCATTTCTTCTAATTCTTTTAGGCACTGATAATACTAGGGGAAAATAATAAATGAGTTAATAATAAAATAACTTTATTTCCTAATTAAATTAATTGAATATTTATAGACTCCTGGAACAAAAGCTACTGGGACATCAACTATCAAAACACCCTGAACACTGTTGTTAGGAAATTAAAAGGAATAAACTGTCATAGTCTCATAGGCAGGTTATGTTAGTTGGTAGACTGGAGTGTTACCAAATGGACTTTACTTACCTTAGTTCGGTCTGGATCACAATAGTCCAAGAGAGAATCACAAAAATGATACCCCATTGACTCCAAATCTTTTGTGTTGAAATGAGTGCCTCGTTTATCACCTAAAACATCAATAAGTTAATCTACCCTTGAGGATGACTTAATTTTTCCTTAGCAGGTAGGCCTAAGTTATAAAACAAAGCATAAACAGAACATCTGATATGATTTCATATCCTGTCATTTGGATTTTCTTTTCTGGGGCAGGTCATTTAATAGCTAATTGCTTTCCTTCATTCCCCCTCCACCATCTGTACCAAAGGTGAGTTAACATGGATCGGTCTATGTTGTAAGGCAGAATAAAATTCAATAAGAAAGTTATGGAATACTTGGTTACCAGTGATAAACAACCTAATAATCACTTAAAGAAAAGGTTGGGTAATGATTTCAATGTTTTCATCATCAATATTTTATCAGATTCAAGATGCTTTAAAAACTAGTAAAAAATTATGTGTAGATGTCCAGCTTTCTTTTGAATTGATACATTTTCTAAAAATGTGACAATTATCTTAATATGGAGTATTGTAAGGACATGATAGATGTGACTAAAAGACTTCTTAAATGGAACTACGTTTATTTTTAGTTCAAGGAACCAAGTGCTTCCATTAAAATATAAATTGACCAAAAAACAACAAACAAACCAATTAAAAAACCATCAGTCTATTTGCCTTACAAATAGTAAATCCACTAAAAACAGTTCTATCCTGATATTTTAAGTATGAGCATTGCTTCTTCTGAAATCATTAGTCACCTGTAAAAACAACTACCACCACCAAGCAATTAAGAAATAATTCATGAAACAACCAATTAGGTATTCTATCTGCAAGCTAAAACTTCCTATTCTTACAAAGGAAATGAGAAATAGAGGTACATATTTAGTGGTAGTTTGTTTATTCATCCCATTAATAGAATTGATTAGATATCAGTAGGCATTAAGTGGGAAGAAAGTGCTCACTATTAAACTATCTACACTATTAATCTTACATTAAAAACGTCTCTGGTTTAAAACTCCAAGAGCCATGAATGAGAACACGTGGTCTTACCCAGAGTAGATCCACAAAAAGTGGCCTCCATGGTGAAGCTGTTCCTGATTCCCATTTTCCACATCACCACCCTGCCTGTTCCTTCTTTGCTCCTCTGAACATTAAACTTGCAAGCTGAGAATGAAAACTGGAAAGAAGCAAATGAACAAGACCCATCTTTTTTTATGACAACAATGTCTTTCTTAGGAAGTAGAGTTGCAAATTGAAAAGTAGTTGTGCAAAAGCAGTAATTCTCTCTAATACTTCAGGAGCTGCTTTTATTTCCTGACCAATGGAAATAAATCATATGTAATTCAAATATAGAAATGACATATTTACATTTCTAAGGACTACAGATTTAAATTCTAGCAATAAATTTTACTTTTTAGCTATACATAGCATATACATTCAAAACCAGTTGAATAATTCTTGATACTGATGGGTAAGATCTTATAAGACTAAAAATTATAGAAGGGGCTTAAACATATTTAGGAATGAAGATTAATGTTTTAGATTTTCAGAATAGAATAAAGATGCTTTATTTTCATGTGGAAGATCATTTGAAAGCTGCCTGAAAAACTGTTATATCTACAAAGTTTTTGTCATTTTATTTTTAAATTAACATATAAATGACTTTCTTGTGCTCCATTCTATTAATTTTTAATATATGTGTAGATGATCAGCATAGAAAAAACCCCATCACTTCTAAAAAACTCCTTTATGCTATCCCTTTGCAGTTACAAGTATTTCATTTCTTTTGGAGTTACAGTAAATGGTATTGTTTTTAATTTTAGTTTCTAATTGTGAGTATATAGAAATTAAATTGTTTTTTGTGGGTTGACTGTGTATCCTATGACATTACTAAAGTCACTTGTTTTTTATGGATTGCTTTGGATTTTCTATGAAGACAACTTCTTTATTACTTCTTTCTTCCCAACCTATCTGCCTTTTATTTCTTTTTCTTGCCTTATTACACTTGTTAGAAACTCCAGGAAAAGGCAAACTGAAGGGGTAAGAGTGGATATCTTGCCTATTCTTGACTTTAGGAGTAAAACAATCAGGTGTATTTTTTTTTTTTTTTTTTTTTTTTTTTACCATTAAGTACAGTGGCAGGATAATGGGTATTTTCTTCTTCATATTTCAAATTACCGGCTTCTTCATATTTCAAATTACCGGCTACTAAACATTCTACATAGCTGCTTTCTTATGGTCAACTGTAAAACCAGGCCAAATTAATAAAAAATAAATGTACTGAATAAGATTTTTCCATTTTGCTGTCTCACGTGGACATTTGTTAGTAAAAGTAGTTAAAATCTTAAAAAGTGCTTACTTTATCTGGACAGTTTTTGCTCATCATAAGTGGGAAGATTCGCTGCTGTAAGTACAATGCTTTATTACGTTCTCTTTCCTGCTATGGCCATGAAGGTCACAGTATAAAATAACCTCTCGTTTCTCCATCAATCTACCGAGAAGAAAAAGGTAAGTTACTAAATATTACCTCTGCATTTCTCTTTCATGGGTGTAACTATGGATTTATAAGTCTAACATCCAAATAAATAGAATTACCTATATACTAGCTTTCAATTTCTCTTAGCTATACTGCATATTACTATTAATATACAATTTTAAATGTCTGAAATAATTTTCCATTAACCATATATAAAATACAAATGCCTTCCATTACAAAAGGACAAAATTTACCTTACTCCCAACCCTTTTTCCAACAGGATTTGGTATGTAATTCTGACTTTTTGTTGTACATAGAAAACAGTTCTCTGCCATCTTTCTCCATTAACTCTCACATAGATATTTCTGACAGGAATACCTTCTTTCTTCATCTTTGTAAATGCAAACACTACCCCTCATCCCCAAGACTGACCTCATGTCTCATTTCCTCTCTAACTAGTCAAGGCTATAGAGCTGTCCTTTTTCTGAACTCCTGTAGCACTTAATATTGGTACCATTTACTTGGCACCTGCAGAGGAAAGTTTCCATATTTTTGATATTTAATCTTGTTAAGGGCAGGGAATGCTTTAAGTCATCCAGAACAGTGCTATGCACACAAATACCCAAAATATTTGTTAAAAGTTGAGTGCCTTATGACTTGGTGCTGAAGCCAATGAATTAATCCTTGATTAATGTGGTAAATATCATTCTGATAAAAATGGTCCTAAAGTTTGAATTGACTTTTTTTCTGGTAAATTTAAATAAATAATTTAAGGAAATTATTAGATATTACTAAGAGCATAATCCTTAGCTTGTATAATTTAGGCATTCAATAAATATTAAAGTAATAAAAAATAAGCCCGTCTCCTCCCCCCGCCCCCCCCCCCCGCCCCAGATTGATGGCTTTCAAAAGGGAAAAAAGTGGTGGTTGTGAAGGTGGTAGAATTATGGGCATTTTGGCCTTTTCTTTCTTTTAAAAAAAATATTTTTATTGATTTCAGAGAGGAAGGGAGAGGGAGAGAGAGAAACATCAATGATGAGAATCACTGATCAGCTATCTCCTGCACACCCCACACTGGGGATTGAGCCTGCAAACGGGTATGTGCCCTGACCGAGAATCCGAGCTGTGACCTGGTTCATAGGTCAACGCTCAACCACTGAGCCATCCGCTGGGCTGCCTTCTTTCCATAATTCTAAACTTTGTACAACATTATTATATTACTTAAGTAATAAAAATTTCATATATTATTTGTTATATCTGGAAGGATAAATACCAAAATGTTAGTAATGGTCTTTATAGTAGCATGAAATGTTTTACAGTAGTCTCCCCCTAAACTGCAGGGGATATATTCCAAGACCCCAGTGAATGCCTGAAACCTCGGATAGTACCACCCCTATATGTACTATGTTTTTTCCTCTTTATGCATACACTTTAGGGCATCTCTTTGGCATATTCAAATCGCCAGCATCACTACTCTTGTGCTTTGGGGCCACTATTAAAATAAGAGTGATGTGAACACAAGCACTAGATACCACCACAGTCAATGTGATAGTGAGATGGCTACTAAGTGAATAACAGGAGGGTAACATATACAGCATGGATACGCTGGACAAAGGGGTCATTCATGTCCCAGATGGTACAAGGCGAGATTTCATCATGCTACGCAGAATGGTGTGCAATTTAAGACTTATGAATTATTTATTTCTGAAACTTTTCCATTTAATACTTTCAGACTGCAGCTGATTACGTGAGACAAACTATGTAAGTGAAATTGCAGATGGTAGACTACTGTACTTTTATAACAAAAATATTAAAACCTAAAGCCAAAACTTTCAAAGTATAGCTTGAATTAGAAACAATATCCTTTAAACTATAGTGAAATTTCGTATTGAAGTCAGTTACAGGTATTAACTTATTGCCCCTTTCTCATTTGGTGCCCAATAAATTCAAATTAATAACAGATCAACATAAAGTCACTGAACAACATTTCAAGTTTTTAGAGAACTAGATTATAAAACAAGATTATCATGTGAGATCCTTAAATATGAAATATACTGTACATTTTTAAACCAACATTTTCTCAATTTTAGTGGTCTGTTTCTTTTGAGTCAAAAGAAACCTTTACTTCTAAATAATGAATTCCCAAAGAAATGTTATTACTTCTGAAGTAAAACAAGATTTTAGGGTCTCTCATCTTATATTTGTTTAAATCATTTTAGAAACAGTTTGACTATTTCTTACTCACAGGTATTTTAATACCCTATACTAAAACCTACTCTCTCTAATTCTCATATTTTTTTTAACAACTTTGTTCCTTTTTTTATATGTAGGAAACACTGAATACTTTTAAAGCTTCCGATGTTCCAGATTTTATCTGGGTACTTTAGTAACAATAACTTCATTTAATCCTCCCATCTATGAGGTAAGTATTATTGTTCACATTGTATAGATGATAAAATTGAGGTTTAGATTTGTTTTTAAATCCTCACCCGAGGATATTTTTCCATTGATTTTTTAGAGAGAGTGAAAGAGAAGGGAAAGACAGAGAGAAAAACACATCTATTAGTTGCCTCCTACATACGCCCTGACCACGGCTCAAGCTGGGGAGGAGGCCTGCAACTGAGCTACATACCCTTGATAGGAATCGAACCCGGGACCCTTAGGTCCGCAGGCCGATGCTCTATCCACTGAGCCAAACTGGCTAGGGCTAGATTTGTTTTTAAATTGCTTAAGGTCACACAGTTAGCAAATAATATAATGGGGATTCCAATCTGATATGTTTATCTCCAGTTCCATACACTTAATCTAATCATTCAACAAAAATTTTAAATATTATGTGTATTTTACTGTTCTGAATTCTTTGGAAAATTTAAAGTTGTTCAATTTTTCTAAGGGTAAATAAGGATATTATTTATGAAAATTTTAAATAACTATGTAACCTGTTAATCAAAAGACTCATCATAGAGCAATATATGATCAACATTAGTGCCAGAAGGCTCTATGAGATGTAATTAATTTTCACATATAAGGGATTCAAGGATCCCAAGGTAAATATCAGTGCTACCATCAGCTTTACCAAGAAATCAAATTTGGGATATGCAAACTATTAGTTTCATGGAGCCATTATGATGTCTTAGAGTCGGTATCATTATTTAATGAAAGGTTAGTGAATCCAGTGGCACAATGCCAGAAAGCTATAGGAGCAGAGTTAGGAAGAATGGGGGAAAAATTAAGTAGGTATAGTCAAACTATCTTAAGAAAATGGAGAGTAACATGAGTAGGATTGTGGGACCAAAATTCTTACTCCCATGTTTACTAAATAAGCAGAGAGGTAATTTGAGGCTTATTTTACCTGTGGATCATGTTCCGGGTATACCAAACAGAAGGGAATGATTCCTTCAGGAGAGAGGTGTAGTTACGGTTTAAATCCCGTCCAGCTAAGGAACACCGGTAATTTCCTACAATCACACCATCGGGATTCAGCATGGGTACCACCTTGAAGATGAAAGTGTCCCGAAGCAACTGTGCATCACGTGAGTCTCCTAAAATAAAATCTAGGAAGCCTTTCATGATCCATGAGCTGTTGGTTTCTCCTGGATGTACCCTTGCAGTCAAAATCACCGCCTTCCGTTTTCTTGAGTCAGCGTTCTTCAAGGGGGTAGTGATCGTTAAAATGTACACCATATTCCTAGCAATCGTGTGGCACAAGACACGTACTTTACAAAACTTCGACCGTACTGGGTCATTATTGATGCTAGAAAGGTATTCTTGCAGGTTGGTGTAAGTGTATGGATAGCAGTGAGCAAAGTAGCAGGTATCGTTGCTGTGTGGAAATTGAAATGTCCACGTAAGAGAGAAATAATGGCGCCCATCTTGCCCGGGGTTGTTCCTGTAATACTTGATTTGCTCTCCTATTCTCTGCCAGCCAATATTATGAGTCTTGGCCTCTTTTTCAGAATAAAACAGTGGGCGCATACCCCGGTTGTAAAGACTAGCAGGCTTGGTAAAATTGATAATAGTGAATCTGTAGACGATTCCTGCTTGGGTATTAGTGACTTGGAAATAGTACCACTGGGTGTGTTTATTTGTGAAGAGGTCAGGGCGCACAGTCAACTGGTATTCATATTCTGCCCTAATACATAAGAAAGGAAGGGGAAAAGCACATAAAAATGTAAAAATGATATTTGGTTTTAAATAAATAAGAAAAATTATTTTTACCTATTCACAGAAAGGTTTTTTGGGGGGTAGGGGGGTGGGGGGTTTGGACAATGTTTATTTAGGCAGTATCCTAAATAGCAAGTAATTGCAAAAGATAAAGTTTTGAAATTTCCTTTTATTGGATGTGAAACTGTTTCTATGGTTTATTTTAAAGCCTTTTTATTATTACTGAAGAGAGCACATAAAAATGAGATTTGATAAAAATTATATTTTCACTCCGATTATGTTTCCTATAAAAATGATTAAAGAGTTCTTAAACTGAGTTAAAGTCCAATATTTCTTTTTTACTTCAGATATGTATTTCTGTTTTCTATTAGATTCTAATTCTAGGGATCTGATATAACTATTACTGAGAACATTTAAAAATAAATAGACATTAATATGACCACACAGACTATAAAATTGTAAATATTTTGAGGATGATATATGATCACTATTTGTATCTCCCATACTGAGTCATTGAGAATACTTATATAAAGGCTAAAATAACTTTACTGTGTATTATTTATAATATGTACATACATCAAACTTACTTGGTTAGTTGTGACTTTTTTCTTTACCAAGTAATTTCTGTTCCTCAGCACAATGCAGTGTGTGTGTATGTGTGTGTATGTGTGTGTGTGTGTGTGTGAGAGAGAGAGAGAGAGAGAGACAATTCATACTGGCATACTGAAAATGCATAAATATGCTTACTTTAAGCATAAATATCAAAATTATTTGAACCTTTCATATCCACCCCCAAGATAATCTCTAATTACCATCTATACTTCAAGGAGTTAAGTTCAGTGATGGATACTAAGATTTTAACGTACCAAACACAGAAACTAATAAATAGTTGATGGTCTAGTTCCTCAAATAAACATAATTAAAACCTACACTTTGACTACCTTCTGTAGATTACCACTCTCAAACCTTGCTTCAAACATCAAAGTGTTGTCACAATTATCCACAGGCTGCTTCAGGGCTGTTCGGTTGCCCCCAACTCGAGAATATACAAAACACGGCTCTTTGTAAGCTGATGAGAGAAATGGGCCATAAATATATCAAGCCATGTCTAAAGTATAGGCTATTCTGCATAGAGCTTGCAGCCACAGTATAAGTGAAGTGGCACTAAGAATTTTAATTTGTAAAGTAATTTGATACCAGTAATAGATTTATGTTGAAGCAAGAAAATCTAAGAGTACTTGACAAGAAAAGCAATGCCTAAAATAGATTCATGTGCTACTCACATTAAGAATACTCATTCCACTTATGGTTATATGAAACTAGAGGCCTGGTGCATGAAATTTGTGCACGGGGTGGGGGTGAGGGTGGGGGTGGGGAGTTGTCCCTCAGCCCGGCCTGCACCCTTTCCAATCTGGGACCCACAGGGATTGGGCCTAAACCGGCAGTTGGACATCCCTCTCACAATCCAGGACTGCTGGCTCTTAACTGCTCGCCTGCCTGCCTGCCTGATTGCCCCTAACTGCTTCTGTCTGCCAGCCTGATCGCCCCCTAACTGCTCCCCTGCCAGCCTGATTGATGCCTAACTGCTCCCCTGCTGGCCTGATCACCCCTAACTGCCCTCCCTTATTGGCCCGATGGCCTCCAACTGCCCTCCACTCCTGGTCTGATCGCCCCCAACTGCCCTGCCCTGTTGGCCCGATGGCCCCCAACTGCCCTCCCCTGCCAGCCATCTTGTGGTGACCATCTTGTGGCGGCCATCTTGTGATGATGTCACACGAGGTGTCGTGCGACGCCACCTAGGCTTTTATTATATAGGATAATTGATTCCGAACTTGACCTTTCACTATAAATGACTATAAAACTGGATAAGGAATATAAGCTAACTTCTTTTCATAATTTTGAATGATACATAGACCAGAACTATATAGGATTCTTGAAAAAAGATAAATACACCAAATAAGCCCATGCTTAACCCTGGTTTTCTTCCTGTGAGTACTTTCTAACCCTACCTCAGGAAGGAGGCACTTATGAAGAGTGTAACAGTCTTGCTGGGCTGAGGAGGCAAGATGTTGCTTGGGGCTGCTGGAATTTGTGAGGCAGGGCACGAGAGAGAAGACAGCTACATAGAGAGAGGGTCTCAACAGTCTACATGGTTTTTCCCCAGTCCTTTGCTGAGGGCTTGACTGTGTAAGCAAAGGATGAGAGTAAGTAAGGTAGGAAAGAGTGCTATTAGGGGGTGAGATAATAGAGGATATACAATTATAGAATATACTGGAATTACAACATATCCAGAGTGGAAAGATTGCACTAAGCTCCTCAGACATTTCATCATGACTCTAGAAAGCTGCACATCAGGCATAAGAACCACATCTAAGAGTAAAGGCCATGACCTAGAACTAAGGACAAAATGAAAATAAATCAGCCCTACTAAATAAATAAATAAATAAATAAATAAATAAATAAATAAATAAATAAAACCAGCCAGAAAGATATAGAACCACTTACCAGCAATTTAGCTGCCTACCAGAACAAAATTCAACATAAGTTTTAAAAACAATATAGACTCCTACAACATATCTTTCACAATGTCTTGCATATGATAAAAAAATTACGAAGCATGCAGAAAAGCAGGGAAATATGATCCATCATGAAACACACACACATACACACACACCCCTCGAGATAACTTAGATGGGATTTACAAAGGATTAAGAAAACATGTTTAAAGGCTTAAAGGAAAAGATAAGAGATAATAAATATAAATGCAGAATAATATAAATGGAAACTATTAAAAAAATCAAATGGGAATTCTAGAAGTAAAAAGTGCAATAACTGAAATGAAAGATTTACTGGAATCCTTCAGTGTGTGGGCTGGTGCTCTATAGAGTAAGCTTAAAAGACATACTGAAGATTGCGGACGAAAGACTGTGAGCTTAAAAACAAAAATTCAAGGACAGAGGAGGACAAAAAATCAACAAAGATCCAGGGACATGTAGGACACAGCTAGAAATCCAACATATATGTAACTGGAATTCCAAAGGGCAGAAAAGAAAGAATAGTATAGAAAAATATATGAAGAAATAATGGTTGAAATTTTCTCAAATGGGGTGGGGGAAAGCACTCTATTAGTCAATGGATCCAATAAGATCAGGAAACCCCAAGCAGAATAAATATAAAGATAACCAAATCTAGGCCAAGCTTAGATTTGCTGAAAACAGCCAGAGACAAAAAGACATACCATAAATAGGGAACAATGATATAAGTTATGGATGACTTTTATTAAAGACAACAGATGTCACAAGACATGGAACATATATTTAAAGAAATAAATCTTTTTTTTTTTAAATATATTTTATTGATTTTTTACAGAGAGGAAGGGAGAGAGATAGAGAGTTAGAAACATCGATGAGAGAGAAACATCGATCAGCTGCCTCCTGCACACCCCCCACTGGGGATGTGCCCGCAACCAAGGTACATGCCCTTGACCGGAATCGAACCTGGGACCCTTCAGTCCGCAGGCTGACGCTCTATCCACTGAGCCAAACCGGTTACGGCAAAGAAATAAATCTTTGAAAGAAAAGTTGTCCACCAGAATTCTATATAGCCAGTTGTTTGGGGACTTCCCCATCCAACAGCTACAGGTCTAAAAACCATCTATCAGTCTACCCTTTCAGGCCAAGGAAATATAATGGTCTGCTTTGTTGATAGTCTTATGTTGTTTCACCATCCCTTGCTCGTTTCCCTTACCTCTGTCCATTCTAAGTTATACTTACACTGAACTAATAAAAATTACTCCAAGTATGCCATCCAATTCCCAACAAGACCCTGACTATTTCAATTTTTTATCAGATCTCATTTAAGTTATGTGTAGAAGTTCTACTACTAGCCATGCAAATATTTGAAAATTTAGCCATAAGAATATTTAAAATCAAATTAGAAAAATCAGAGGTGCTTCTCTCACTCCAGCTGTTAAAAAATATGTGAGTAAATGATTTCTAGAATTGCTTACTCTACAGGAAACAATCCCTGTGAATTTATCTGTTTTGCCAGCCCTTTAAATAAAATACGTATGTTTCCTGGAAGGTATCTAACATCTACTGTAAGACATAGAACTCTGATGGTGACATTGTGCAGGAGTCCCATTCTTCCTCATGTTGGTGTATCAGGAGTAGCACAGTTTAGGATATAGGCTGAGATGTCTATGTTTGATTATCAGCATATCCTATCATAAAGTGGATATAAGATTTTGATTACTAGAGCTCTCAAAGTACAAATATAGATCACCCTTCTGAGATATATCTTAGATGTTATTTGCAATGTGGGTGCGTTCCTCTTTTAAAGATAGGATTCCCACCAAACTGGCATGAAATGGGAAAAAAGCAAACCCCACACATCTGAGAGATTGCATGAAAATGACCTGTTAACAGAGAGGCAACAATAGTTGCAGAGCACCCCACTGGATTTACCTTTGAAAACTGATGTGAAGCCTAATTCCTTCTAAATATGACCCCATTCTAATGGCCAATATGATCTTTTATTTTAAAGTAACTTTACATGAACTGAAATATACCTTCAAGAATATAATTAGCACTAAATCAACATTTGGACCAATATTAACCAAATATATTTTTTTGTTTGTTAATCCTCACCCGAGGCTATTTTCCCATTGATTTTTAGAGACAGTGGAGGGGGAGAGACAGAGAGAGAAAAACATTGATGAGAGAGAGACATACTGATTGGTTGCCTCCTGGACAGAATCGAGCCTGCAATCAAGATATGTGCCCTTGACTGGAATCCTTCAGTGTGCGGGCTGGTGCTCTATCCACTGAGCCAAACCGGCTAGGGCTTAACCAACATTTTTATGGGGACAGGGATTTCCTGGTAATCTGCAATTTTCACTATAATCAGCAAAACAAATATAACTAAGAGGTTAGCCCAGGTACCAAATTACATTTGTATAGCAACGTATTTCATTATGTACCCACCATCTTCAGCTAGATAAACTACTGTATCTTCCTTGGAGTTTGAATAAATGGGTTCGATCTCTAGGCCTGTTGGGATGTACACTGGCTCAGAATAAGGAGGAGTCGTATCTATACATATATATAAAAGAGAGAACATTATTTAAATGTGACAAAACAGGAAATTTTTATTATACATTTGAAAGTTGTTTATTGATAGGTCTAGGCTAAAATTTAGAGTTTTGTAAGGGGCTAGATTTTACTAAGGATTCATTGGCAGTAATGAACATTGTCACACTGTAACATTTCACTGGCACCTTGATCTAAATCATTATAGTGAATAGTTCATGAATATTTAGTGTCATAGATTTTATACTAAAGTTCTATTTCTCCTGGGCACTTGATATCTTTCTGATCCACCTCTGGGAATCTTACTCCATCTTTTATTCTCCCTTCCCCTTCATCTTCAGCATCTTGCCTGATAATGGTTGTCTCCTAAGCTTATAAACATGTTCAAGTGTTGTAGGGATAAGCCTCTGACTGACCTGTTGGCAAAGCCACAAACAAGTCCCAGTTTAGAGGGCACAGCCCTCTTTGCATAATTAAGCTTGACCTTATGAGTCTCCCTAGTCAGGGGTGGGCAAACTTTTTGACTCGAGGGCCACAATGGGTTCTTAAACTGGACCGGAGGGCCGGAACAAAAGCATGGATGGAGTGTTTGTGTGAACTAATATAAATTCAAAGTAAACATCATTACATAAAAGGGTACGGCCTTTTTTTTTTTTTTAGTTTTATTCGTTTCAAGCGGGCCATAGTTTGCCCACGGCTGCCCTAGATCCTATCTGAGTAGCTAATGGGCTGTGGAAGGTGCAGCAAGTGCTGCCAAAACAAGTGAAACTCACAAGAACATTGCAACTATGGTGACCACTCCCTTGTTAACCTCTGGCTATAAAATAAAGCTCAGCTTGCCCTCTGGATCCCTCTCTGTGGCCACAGCCACGCACAGGAGATCCACCTAGACCACTGATGGCGAACCTTTTGAGCTCGGCGTGTCAGCATTTTGAAAAACCCTAACTTAACTCTGGTGCCGTGTCACATATAGAAATTTTTTGATATTTGCAACCATAGTAAAACAAAGATTTATATTTTTGATATTTATTTTATATATTTAAATGCCATTTAACAAAGAAAAATCAACCAAAAAAATGAGTGTCATAGGTTCGCCATCACTGACCCAGCTTATTCTGTCTGCCGTTTCTACATCCTTCACGCCCCCCCCCCCCCCCCTCCCCCCCAGGCTCACCGAACCATTGGCTGCGCTGGCCTGGCACAAAGTGTCTTCTGTCTCCCCAAAGAAAGGCTGGCTATCCTTGGACCCCCAACTTCTTTAGCTATACTAGCTTTCCTTTTCTTCATTATTTTTAGGACCAAGTTTCTTAAAAGTTGTTTGAGCCATGCTCAAATGCATGATTTATATTTGTCTATGATCTATTTGATTGGAGAAAATGACTTCACAGTCCAACTACCCAAGTTGTTCTCACTTTTTTTTTTTTTTTTTTTTAAATATATATTTTATTGATTTTTTACAGAGAAGAAGGGAGAGGGATAGAGAGTTAGAAACATCGATGGGAGAGATCGATCAGCTGCCTCCTACACGCCCCCTACTGGGGATGTGCCCGCAACCAAGGTACATGCCCTTGCATGATTTATATTTGTCTATGATCTATTTGATTGGAAAAAATGACTTCACAGTCCAACTACCCAAGTTGTTCTCACTTTTTAGTAGAACAAGAATTTGATGATGACTCACTATTCTACTCTTTTATTATTGGCTTGTGTGTGTCAGACTATGCTTGGTTCTGGTAATAAATATATTCCTATAGAGGGAGTCAGCCTCTATGATCCCGAATATAGTCATTGAAACAGTAAGAAGAAAAAAACAATTTGGTGGTAATAAAGAAGTGTTCCTGGACAAACATTTTGGGGATTATGTATACAACTTCTTTAGCAACGTAAGTATATCTGACATAATTAATCAGAGTCAAGTCTAGCTACAGAGAAAGCATAGATTAAAATATTGATGTCAATGTGCATCAGTACACTTTGTCAGTAACTGAATACACAACCAAATAAATTGATAATAAACAATAAAGAAAATTATAACTAAAACTGATCCTCTTAACAGTTGAAAACCTTAATGGACTCAAACCAAAATTAATCATGAACTGATAACACAGCATTGCTTCTGAAAACTTTGGGAATTTCTGCTACTTGCCTTGGTGTATGCTTACCATCGAAAGATACATGACAGCCTGACATCCCAGTTAAAAAAAGAGACTTTTTAATTAATGTTTATGTTCTTAATTATTTAAGAATGAGTAGTCTTTATAGTAAGAAATATGGAACTCTAACACTAAAACTGGAGAATCTACAATAGGGTCAAGTTTGCAGCTTACCAAAGTCCTTTTAAGATAATTCTGTTTAGCTTTCTGAAGAAGTGCCAAACTTTTCCAAAAAGGCTGAATGATTTTATATTCCCATCATCAAAGGAGGATTTTGATTTCTCTACATTCTTATCAACACCTGTTATCTGATTTTCATTCCAGTCATCATAGTGTGTGTTACTGTGTTATTAATTTGTATTTCCCTGATAACTGAAGGTGCTGAATATCTTTTCATGTGTTCATTGGCCATGTTTATCTTCTTTGGAGAAATGTCTAGTCAGATCATTTGCACTTTTTAAATTGAGTTATTTGTCTTTTTTAGTGTGAGTTGTAAGAGGTCTATATAAGCCCTTCATCAGATAGCTTACAATTATTTTCTCCCATTCTGCTGGTTCTATTTTCATTTTCTTGATAGTTTTATTTGAAGCACAAAAGTTTTGATGAAATCCAATTGACCCATTTTTGTTGTTACTTGTGCTTTTGATGTTATAGCTATGAATCCATTGTCAGATTCAATGAAAGATTTACTTCTGTTTTCTTCTAAGAGTTTGACCCATTTTTAAGTTAATTTTTCATATGGTGTGTTATTTATCTAGTTGCCCCAGCACCATTTGCTTAAAAGATTATTTTTTTCTATTGAACAGAAAAAATGCCCTTGTTGAAAATAAGTTGCCCACAAACATGGTTTATTTCTGGACTTGCAATTAGATTCATTCATCTATATTCCTATCTTCATGATAGTAAACACCGTCTTGGTTATTGTTAATTTATAGTTTTGAATTTGAAAATTGTGAATCTCAAATTGTTCTTTTTCACTATTTTTTTTTTTGCTATTCTAAATTCCCTGAGTTTCCATATCAATTTTAGAATCAGTTTGTCAGTTCCTACAAAGCACGTAGTATTCTGATGGAAATTGTATTGGACTGACAGATTAATTTGGGGAGAATTGCCATCATAACAATCATAAATTTTATGATCCACAAACATGGGTGTCTTTTCATTTATTTAGATTTTAAAAATTTTCTTTCAACGATGTTTTGTAGTTTCAGAGTATAAGTTTTACACTTTTCTTAAATTTATTCCTATATTATTCTTTTGATGTTATTGTGAATGAAACTGTTTAAGTTCATTATAGTATTATTCATTATAAATGTATAGGAATATAATTGATTTTTAAAAATATTTATCTTATCTTTCAACCTTGCCAAACTCATTTACTAGTTCTTATAATTGTTTTTCAGTGGGTTGCTGAGGGTTTCTATATACAAGATTATGTCATTGGTAAACAGAAATAGTTTCACTTCTTCCTCTCTAACCAGGATGCTTTTTATTTCTTTTTCTTGTTTAATCACTGTGACTAGAAGCTCCATTACCATGTTGTATAGAAGTGGCAAAAGTGGATATCTTTGTCTTGTTTTTTACCTTATGGGGAAAGCATCCATTCTTTCAGCCTTAAGTATAATATTAGCTGTGAGGTTTCATAGGTGCTCTTTATCATTGCAAGGATTTTCCATTCTCTTCCTAATTTTTTTTGACATGAAAGGGTACTGGATTTTATTTTATATATATTTTTATTGTCTGATTGTATAATTGAAAATGTCCAGAATAGAAAAATCTACAGAGACAAAAAGCAGATTAGTAATTTTACTGTGGGAGGAAAGAATGAGGAATGATTGGTTAATAGGTACAGGGTCTCTTTTGGGGAGGGGGGCATGGAAATGTTCTGGATTTAGAGAGAGGTGATAGTTACACAACACAAAAATAGTACTAAATGCTGCTGAATTGTTCACTTTAAAATGGTTAATTTTATGTGATGTAAATTTTACCTCAATTAAAAAAGTTGTAAGCAGCTTATTGAATAATAACTTTATCGAGAACCACATCCACACTTAAAATTATGACTTCTGAAAAAAATTTATGAACAGTGAAATGCTCTACATATGTTAGCCACATACATGTCAAGTGCGATGTATGTCACCAATAATATGTAAGCCACTACAACACATAAGTCACTTATGACATCCATGCTACTATTGACATGTCACTTATGACATATATCAATTTTCAAATGTTGATTGTGACATCAGTTTCACATGTTCATTGTGACAAAATGTATCAATTCTGACACATATGCCAAACCTGACACATCAATTTCGACATATTGCTTTTGACAGGTGTGTTGATCCTGACAGACATGTGTCAAATTTGAGGCATGTGTTTATTCTGACACATTGACCACTCTGACATGCACATCAATTCTGACATGTGCACTGAGTATGACACACATGTTAACTGACACACACCAATTCTGATAAATGTTAATCATGACACATCTGTTCATTCTGACACAGGTCAATTCTGACACATATGCCACTCTGACACACATGTCAACTGATACACAATAACCAATTGACACATGTTTATTCTGACACATGCTGGTATGTTTCTATTCTGGCATATACAGATTCTGACATGTTGATTCTGACACATGCTGATTTTGACACATATGTTGATTCTGACATACATGTCGCTTATGAAGTGTATATCAATGTGACAATGCAGCTTTGTTGGCAGATGTCCATGATCTCTCAGCTGCAGCAGTTTCCAGAAGTTAGCAGTGTTCCAGCTATTAATTTCACAGGCTGGCTCATCAAAACTAGTGGAGAGTAGGGATCCTGTTACATCAGC